GTGGAATAAAGAATATTATTATTACTATTATTGTGGATAAATGTTTTATTCAAGTTTTTGATTCATTAACAATGTACACTGATAAGCCCATATACTATTGAACCTAGAAATAAGACGATTCATATCTTTTACTCATTAAATCGGATGATTCCACACTAACGATAAACATGTACCACTGAATTACTTGTCAGTGATTTAGAATTATAATGCTCTTAATGAGACATGAGAATCAGGAACCTGATTCTGTTGTGAATTCATCGATACAAACTCTTGATTATGATCTTGTACATGTCCTTAGGTTGTTAATTTTCTCTAACTTTCCAGTTTATTTCAACTTATAATGAAAGCTAACTTCGAAGCTAAATGACTTATCTTTACATACAGTAACTATATATAAATGTAAATGTATATAGTATAAAAAGATGGGATGCGGCTAGCTGCGAAATCCATGGTACCCGTTTTGTCATATTTGGGACTCATCAGTTGGGTGTACATACATAGATGTATATATATTTGTATATCGGTATTTAATGATGAAATATTTTTATTTTCACAGTGTTAATTTATTTTCTCGCACTGGATTGGCTAGTACTATAACAAGACTACAAACGTTATTCTAGCTTCTGGATATACCAAGTTATTCATTCATCTCAAGCCACATTTTGACCTTGTCACTTATTTGCCTATTAAGCGTGACTGTTTTTATATGATCGTATGTGTGTTGATTGCTAACCCTATTCATTACGTATCTTTAAGTTATTTTTGTCTGAATATAATTATTGAAAATTCGTTAGTAGAACTTCCAGGATTGGACATGAAGTCGGAAACCCCATCCAGTAGAAAGCAACCTTGCTAAAAAACTTTTGCTAGCCGGAATAAACGATTCAAATCATTTAAACTCTGACCTGAAATTTAAAGGATCTTCATTTAAAAGAATTATGATTCCTCACGGTGAAGATTCTTTGGAAGTCGCGAAGACAATGGATCTTTTAGCAACCAGAACAGCAATGGATATAGATACACGGAATGTCCGAACAATGTGGGAGATCGAAAGGACCAATGAAATAGCTACGAAAATGATGAGATACAACTTGACGGTTCTCGGAATCAGTGAACCCCACTGGACTCAAGCTGGATAGCAGAGGCTAGATACGCGAGAGATGCTGCTGTGCTCTGATTACGAAAAGGAAAATGCTCCACACAATCAGAGAGTTGGTCTGATACCGTCCAAAGAAGCAAGTAACGCACTTATAGGATGAGGATCTCATGGATCTGGAATCACCAAAGCATCCTTTGAAACAAAGAAGAATAAATCACGATGAATGTTATCCAATGTTATGAACCCACAAATGATAGCAACAACAAAGATAATGATCAGTTCTACGAAAGGATGCAATCGATCGTAGAAAAGTGACCAGGAAAGGACCTGAACATCGTAATGTAAGATCTAAACACTAAAGTCGTAATGGGAAACACAGGATATGAAGATATCATGGGACGACATGGGCTTGGAGAGAGAAACGATTGTAGGGAAAGATTCGCAAATCTATGAACATTCAACAAAATGGTTATAGGCGGCACAATATTCTCACACGAACACATACACAAAGCTACACATGCTTCACCCGATCAAACTGCAGATAACCACATCGATCATATCTGTATCTCTAAAAAATTCAGAAGGACACTGGAAGACGTGAGGTCCAGGAGAAGAGTTGGCATAGCTTCTGATCACCATTAGCTAGTTGTGGTCAAGATGATACTTAAGCTAAAGAAACACTGGACAGCTGGGAAAACAGCAGTAAAAAGGTTCAATACAGCCTTCCCTCGAGATACTAACAAGCTCAACGAATCCAAGATAGCTATCAGCAACAGGTTTAAAGCCCTGTTCCAAGTCTAGAGCTAATATTTAGGTTCATTGAGGTCTTGGAGATAAAAAGGTTCAACTTCTCTTGAGTGTTCAAATATAATTTGTACTTACACAGTCTACCCTGGCAATATTGCTTTGAAATCCAAATTAGTGTGATTCATATTGTTTTTCGCCATTATCTTTGTTGTTATCAGCAGTGTGCACTGCTGAAAAGTCTCAAAATGGTACGAAAAGGTTGTCCAGTGCTTCCAAGTTTTCATTGGTGATCTAGCTTAGATCGACTTGTGAATTCAACTGTTAAAAGTACTACAATTTCCACAAAACGCATTGCTGAAAATCTATTTCATATGGCACGTTTAAGATTGAATTGTTCTTAATAATTATTATTATTATTTACAATCAGATTCCCTATTTCCATTTCTCGTAAAATGGACATATTTATATCAACTAGTAATTCAACTAACAGATTGGATGTCAATTTCTAATCTGTAACTATCTAATTTATGTATTATCTTTTAGGAAATTATTAAATACAGCTACATCTAAAATCAAGGTAGACTGATTCAACGAAGAGCTCTGTTCTCAACAAATTCATTCTCAAAGCTTTAATAATTGCCAAAAAACATTTACTTTTTCACAAAGATAATCTATAGGATATATGTTAAAAACAATGTTTAACTGGACAAACTTATCTTGATAAGTTCTAATTAATCTTGTAGAGAGCGAGTTTCTGTCTTCTTAGCACTACCAGAGCCTTCAAAATGCGTTTACAGAAACCAGAACTATGCATACAAAGAAATCCTTAGTCATTCCCTTTTCGTATCATGAATGTAATCCCTAGTTTTAAAACTATTTCTCTTCTCTCTCCCTCCTACATTAGCTCTTAAAACCTAATCGACTTATCCTCATTGATTTCACATAGTTTTAATTTCAACACTATTCATAATCAATATTCTTGTAAAGCCGATAGTAATCTTGACGAATATTCAAGGTTTTAACAATCAAAATCTTTGACTTTTTAATAAGAATACGTTCCTGATGATTTTATCAACTTACTCAGTAAATCACTGTTTTGTAATAAGAGTATATATTTTGAGAAAGTGCAATTTTGGGAATGAATATCCTGAAAACAATGTTTTTCTTTGAGCCAATCCTCAGTGACTGTTTACTGCTTAAAAGTATGCATAACGTTACATGATAAAAAGGAAACCAATAACTGAGGTTCCTTGCTATCTAGATTTTATCATCAATAACTACCTAACATTTTAAGGAATTCAACTACCCATCTCAATGGCACTTTTCTTGAAATTATATCATTCGTATTCATAAAACGAGCTGACACTTTATTGATTTTACTTTATTAATTTAGCTAGACCACACCACTATACATAACATTTAAAGTATGCTGGAAAACCTCTCTTGGTTTATTTTAGATTTATTACGTAGTGTACAGAAACAGATATTTCTTATGGGGATTGTGTTGTGAACCAGAGGGAATGACTTGAGGAAGAGATCAAGGTTCTACGGTTAACAGCCGTAAATGTAGTTCACTTTTTATGAGTAACTTTGATAATCGTAAACATGCTTACTAATTCCTTGGAGATTTTTCAAAAATTATTATTCAGATTTAGCCACCTATATTTATAGATGAGTTGTTGACCTGAAACACCCATCTTTAAGATGGTTCGAATATGTGAATATGTGATACCGACTTAGTCATACTTTAGTGAACGAGAACACCAGTGGGGACAACGGAATGTCAGATGAGGTTTTGTGGATATTCTAGTAACCTCAATAGTTGAGATCATGAGTCAATTGAAGATAGACCATCATGGAAAACCCGGAAGCACTGGACAGCCCTCTCATCCTATTGTGGGACTCTTCAGTAGTGCGCACCCATGACCCCAACCCGCGAGATTCGAGGCCAGGACCCGTCAGTCTTGCGCTCGAGCACTTACCCATTAGACCATTGAGCCGGCCGAATGTAATATGAGCCAAACCTACAGAATCTGTTAGTAAAATCTGAGAATCATACAGTAAACAGGTAATATGCAAAATATCAATATATTGTCCAAAACTTGATTATTCCTTTAGCAAAATATCAGTCAGTCGTCTGAGATTTCATTAGTTCTTCATTTTCGCACCAACTGCTTTCCGTTTCTGTTCTTGCCTTCTCGATCTTCTACTCAAATACATTCTATTCTTGTTTATCGTTATATACTACTTATGTAGATATAAGTAGCTCACACCACAATACATCATAGCATGAATAAGTAAACATCTATTATAAATATTACTTTCTAAATAGCTAACTCATGTATAGTTATTTCATATGTGCAAAGTTAAAACTATCTGATAACTTAAACCAATTCAAATAAGTGATATTTATTACTATAAGATTAAATGAAATCAATAAATAAACAAATAAATATTCATTATTTTATTAATCATATAAAAATAGGCTCGTGATAAAGAAAATTAGATTTTATTCTTTAAAGAATACACTAATAAAACATTTATCATCGGTGAAATATTATGCATATAAGTGATTAAAAATAAGTATAAACTATAAGGTTAGTTAATAGATAAGACCTATATATTATGCGATGGTTCTCAATTTGTGAATCATTTAGAAAATTTAAGTATAATAGCGAGTTATTTAGGTTGAAAGGTTGAGATAAATTGACAGAAAAGTCAAAATTAAAGGGTTATGGAAATTGTTAAGTTTTTGATTGAGATCATGAACTAATTGATGTTAGATCACCATTGAAAATCTGGAAACACTGGACGGTCGTTTCGTCCTATCACAGGGCTCTTCAGCAGTGTGTATCCATGATCTCTAACCCAGGACCTATCAGTCTTGTACGCTAACGCTTAACTTCTAGACTACTAAGCCGGCACCCAACAATGTTAATGTCTAGCCTCAACCAATCCACGAAATTGCGTGGCCATCTTTTATCGTAATGAGGTAGATAGCTGTCTGTACTCGAAATGGATCGCTTATAATCATATGATCAAGTGCAAATCAGATTAATATAAATTTGTTGCACTGATTATGTAGATAAAAATTATAGATTAGAGTTTTATATTGATGAAAAAAAGCCTATTTTAAGTTTAAGATCTCGCTATTCATCAAGTTGGAAATTTTACTCTATTAAATTTTGACTTACAATGTTATTTTATACGAACTTTGCATTAACTTAAGATGACAAATTTTCAACCGAATTATTCTTATTTCCACTTACAACTAATTAGCTATCTTGCTTTGAATAAGGTAAAGCATGATAAGATCTTTTTTTGTCCAGATCTGTTTTTTTTCTTCATTAATTACATAATATTCTTGTGTTGTTTCTTTGTACTATTTAAACCTTGATTAATTTTGATTTGGTTATTTATTCTCTGAAGAAGTGGCTTACACTAAGTCACGAAACGTCAGAAGATCTAATTTTTCTACTCATTAATAATGATAGCCATCTTGTTTTGAATTTTGAAGACATTGTGTCTAATTCCAAGTAGTTTCATACTAGGTTGAAACAACTCACTGGTACTATATAAATTTCAATAGTTGTTAAAAAGGGAAATTAATTCATGAAATAAATTGTCTTCTATTCATTTAATAATAAATTTCTTTCTATACTGACTTCAGTAATTTACATAAAGTATATTCTTTTATTTGATAGTTGAGTTAATAAACTACTGTTCTATTGTTGTTTTCATTAACATTTTTGTGTATTTGATTTTATTCACTAAATAGAAATAACTTTATGATTAGGTTTAAACATATGCACATGAATACAATACTTTATTAAAATAACCCATAGTGTCATTGAATAAGAAAAAGAGAATTCAGTGAACAAATGAGGTTCGTCCATATCCTTCGATTAGTACGTAACCTCATTTGTTATTTAGTCTCAAATCAATCTTTTCTATCCTCCTATAGACTTATATTTTCCATATAACTATATATGTACAAATGTATAGCTTAAGTAAATGATTTCGTCGAAAAGAAAGTTTTCTTCTCTGAATTCTCTTTTCCTTATTCAAAAGCACTTTATGTTTAGATAATAGATCAGCAAGGAATAGAAGTTACACGGATTATATAAGAAATTAGTCTATTATACATTGAATAATTATCATCTATATCTAAAATTTTTAATGTGATTTATTATTTTACTTTGAAACTTTTAACTAATGAACTAGCTTCAATTGACTCATGATCTCAACTATTAAAATTACTAAAATCTCCACAAAAATCCTTATGATATGAATCAACATATGCTCACTAGTGACTGGCTTCAAGAGGTATTTCCTGGAGTTCTAGTGAGAAGCAGTGATCAGTAGAGTTCAATCGGGTCAGTTGTGAGATAGTAACTTACTGAAGACAATGGTGGATGTGTCGCTCAGTTTCGTGGACTGGTTGAAGTTAGACGTTAACACCGTTGGATGATGACTCAGTGGTTTAGTGACTAAGCGCTTGCACGCGAGACTGGTAGGTCCTGAGTTGAAATCTTTCGAAGCGGGATCGTGGATGCGCACTGCTGAGGAGTCTTGCAGTAGGACGTCCAGTGCTTCCAAGTTTTTCATGATGGCCTAACTTCAATTGACTGATGATCTCAACCATTGAGATTAATATTTTTTGTTAACAGTGTAACGCATTGATTTTTGAGTTGTTATTGTGTATACAAAACCAAGGAATAGACAAAATAAGAAAAAAACATCAAACATTAGGAAAAATAATTCAAATAACAAAATATATGCTTTAAGTTTCTAATAGTTTTGTGAAGTCATTTCATTCCCGGTAATTCAGATACATTCATTTTGGTTATTCAAAATTATTGTAGAGATTACTGTATGCTAGTGGTTCTTCGAAAACATCTTACAAAACCAGATATCGATTTTCATTCACCTTAGACTTTATGAGGTATACACTTATAGAATTACTATACGTGATATTCAGTTTAAGTATACTAATCATTTATGTTATGATTCAGGTATGACCGTATTAACATACAACTGTCACTAATAAATGTTACTAAGAGACGCGAAACACTCACATAACTTCGTGATTTAACTTGCTAGTTTCTATGACAGAAATCTAACCAAGATTTAAGTGGAGGACTTAATAGAAGAACTGAATGATAAATCTAGTCGACTAAACTTATAGTATTCTAAAAACTGATACCGACACGTTTACTCATTTTTATAAAATATTTGATAGGTATCATTACTAACTTTTAACTTATAAATAATTTGCTAACAATACTCAGAAGTCATTTCACAGATGTGTTTGTGAATGTACAGATTCTTAATCTTATGAATACCACCTAAAATATCCAACAACATATGTGAATAATCGTGAAGCTTTTAACTTAAGGTATTTAACCGTTCATAAAATATATTTGTAAATAATATTATTTTTACAAGATTTGAATATGTTTATTATATCCAAACTTTGGAAAGCTAAAACTTGAAGGTTTGTTGTGAAATTTGCTTTAATTTATATATATGACTACTCGCAATTTACAAATTAATTTTTGGTACCTGAATTGGTTTTCATGTTAAATGGGCTGTATGTTACGAGTGCATTAATTGAATGTGCTTCAAGAATGGATTACAGCAGAATTCAGACATGACATAAAGTTTGGAAAGTGAGCTTTGTGAATTATTTGATGTTAGTAAAAGCGTGATGATAATCTACTAATTCTTAGTATCAGTCATAAGAGGCTTTGTTCTCTAAAATGTGAAGGGAAGGACTAACTAGAAAAGACTCTCGAATCGGGAATGGAGCTTAAGATGCAAGATATACATAACGACATTGAGTTGGCTGAATTGGAGTAAGAATTTTGTCCTAGGTTAGTGGTAAGACGAATTCCAATGTAGAAGGGTTTTTAGATTAAAATACTGGCTTGAACGTTCGTATGGGAGTAACACTCAGCTGTTCAAAAGACAAATGGCATGTTGTTTACTATTTTTAACAATATTGCTTTACTCAGAATTCATATTATTCATTTTAATGGACAGCCTGGTCAACATCACCGTTTTTAAATCAGTTTTCTAGAATTATTGCAAGTAAATTGTCCGAGGAGAGTCAAATGTTGTCATATCAGTTGTGCTGCTGCTCAGGACGGATTGTAGTCGAATTGGGATTACCAATTGTATTCGTATTGGGATTACCAATTGTAGCGTGGCGTCGAGTTGAGATTAACTATGAACGCCGCTACCAAGAAACACGTGCCAATTAGATCAGAAGGCGTAAGAAGCTCGTTCCAAATGACTCCATAAAATCCCCGAGAAGCCGAATACCAGAAGGCAATTAATGGACCAAGTCGATGTTTATTTGCTGGCGATCTCGTGGCATCGAAAGTATACCGAGATCGTGCCAGGATACAAGCTTGGTTACAGAAGGTAACCGAATTCGCGGGCAAGGTATAAACGGTAATCCCTTTCAAATCTGTCCGCCGTTTCGTTTCAACGACCTTGAACGCTCTGACTGGAAGCGGGCATTCCGTATTTCAATTGCCGTGTGTGTGTTGGGTCCTATGAGTATTAAATGTTTCCATATATAAGTCATCTTTTGATGCATAATAAACACTAAATAACTGCTAAGAGCATTAACCGAGTATTTTCTGTTTTGTAGTGCACACTTTAGCTCTGTTGTTCCTTCGAAACTTGATCTGTGGTCCTAAGTGCTGTAGTGAAAGTCAACAGCTATATATAATTTGTTGCTAAGGTCCAGAAAACAACGTAAGAAAGATAAAATAACGTAAAAGGTTATAGATGCGCCTAGTTTTTGTGAGTTAAGAGGAAATGTCAACTGAAGGGTAAGTCCTAAATATTTGTTGTTCTTCCTTCAGTTAATTTTTTTCAAGGAATAACCTTTTTTTAATAACTATTGTATGTTGTCTCTAGTGCTTCATGCTCAAGTGAAATTTCAGTGAACGTAAGCAACGCGTTCCAATGTATTATGCTGAACAAGAGATTCGGAAGCTGGATTAAAGTATGATAGGATAAACCTATGTTTTCTCAGATGACCCATACACACTATGTTCACGCAGAAAGTAGATTGTTGAAGGATGTGAGATATAAATACTTGTTCGTAGTGTTTCGTTGCACGTTTGGTCGTAAACGTAAATCAGAAGGTCTGAATGTGAATAAAAAACCGTGAGGACTCTAACTAATGTGTTACATTTAAGGTCTAAATTTTTAAATTGCCAATCGATGTTTCGCGTAAGATTGGAGGGTCAACAATACGTTATAAAATCTTACAACATGTCTCACAACCATCGGTGTACTAGTTCGTGGATGGTTTGTGATCCGTTGAGTAAACGATTGTCATCAGAAGAAAAAGAAAACTTGAAACCAGTTATATTGCACTGTCAGTCGACGGACGAAGTTATCGAAAGTATTAAGGAAAGAACAGGTAAGCAAGTGACCGCTGCTGATGTGAAAAATATGAAAGCTGAACTCTCCACTGGTAAGTGTATATAAATATATTTCAGGTTGGACTCTGAAGCAGGTATTGCAGATGATGCGACAAAACGGTGAAGTTAGAGAGCATGCAGAAAATGGATGCATTACGGCGATATGCTTCAGCAGTTATGATCAGATACGGCTGTACAGTCAATATCCCGAAGTCGTGTGTATTGATTCTACTTATAAAACTAATAATAAAAAGTGAATATGATTTTCGTTTTGTTCTACTATGTAGATATTCATTATTCCAGTTAGTGGTGACAGACAATTGGGGCCGAGGTCGAACTGTTATGTTTGCATGGACACAAAAAGAAAAGCGTGCCGATGTTACGTGGGTTTTGGATAAATTCAAGGAGATAATGGGTAACACGACCAAAACAGAAACATTTGTGATGGATTTCGCACGATCTGAAAGCGCGGCTGTCCGTATAACGCACGGGCATGCAAACATTATTTTGTGCGCCTTTCATTACGAAGTGGATGTAAGTATTTGTGGATGCAATTGTAGCACGTTTAATATGTGTCGATATCCGTGCCGCCATCTCCAGCTGGCATATATTAAAAGACGAAATCTAACAGGTAAGCTATTTAAATTATAAAATATAAACTGCATAGCTCATCAACTTCTTAGGTGTTGCTGCAGATGGAAATTAGACAATAGGTACAACTTACAAAACAACACAGCAATTTCATTACGGAGACGGAGTAAAGAATATATACAACTTCAACGGCTCCAAAGAATGTGCAAACAACAAATTGTTGAGAAATATGGTGAACGCTTCGCGAATCAGGTGGAGAGAAGAGTCTACAATTTTTACTTAAGAATTATAAACAGCTAGGCAGCAGGTTTACGATTAACAGTTCTTTGTGGCTATTTATACAACTTGTAAACTTATCTTTCCACTTTAGTAGTCATGAAAAATCAATAAACTTTTTCTCATTTTTTATTTTCGTCTTCTTCATACTTTCATGGGGAGGTTTACCAATCGCTTTAACGAATAATTGTGTATGAAAATTAAGAATTTGTACTACTGTATTAGTTACGAACTGTCGTTAGAACTTAGCGTTATATCGTTGTTCATTGTGAGGAATCAACGAGTCAAATAAAACAATAATGCGACTTCCACGTAAAACCTTACAGACTAAACCGCCTTACATATTTTCCGTTGTCAGATTACGTCCATTATCAAGTTAGTATTAGTATGGAACTAGATAATTTCATGCAGCTAGTTCCTTGATAAGATGGATTACGTAATCCTTAGACCATCTTTCCACTCACACTTCTTTGCTAAATTATGTTAACTCTTCAGATTGTCTTCACTTATCTTATTAGTTCTTAATTCACTGATTTATTCATTACATCTAGAATTATCACACAATTTATCTTATATGCTTCTGAGCTTCACTCGACTATTACACCACCCATCCTTTATGTTCCCTTAAGTCTAACACCAAATGACCTTTGACCTGTTCAAGCATATACATATGTATAGTTATTATTGATAACCTAGGTCATTCCAATTCTTTGCTTTCTATTATCTTTCATACTATTTCTTCCCTCAATCTTAAATTATAATGCATATTCAGTTGTATGCAACTTATGAGAAACCACGAAATGTAATGCAGTCACATGATTCTGCGTCAATATTTGTTTTGGCTTTATTTAGACCATAATTATACAAACTTACAGGATTTATAATATAAAACACTGCGTATGGTTGTTATATTTATATTTAAATAATTCATTAGATGAATGAGCATAGCAGTAGGTAATATAAAACAGTTATCGTAAACTTGTAAACCGGTTTTCCACACGATCTTCCGTAATCCTAAATTCCATAAGCTTCATACTATTCTGAAAAACAACAAATCCGTTTTGAGACAAACAATTAAACTTTGTTCTCAGTATCATATTCAATAAGTTATTCAAATAGCAAGTAACAGACTGTGCCTATAATTTTTTTTTTTTTTTTTTTTTTTTTTTTTTTTTTTTTTTTTTTTTTTTTCAACAACTGTATTACCGAGACGGAGTGAAGAGTATATAATAACTCATTTGTGAACCCTATAACAGACACCTCACAAATCAGTATTAACTAAAAAACATGGTTGTGTCACCATTCTCACAAGAAACACCGATCGTTTTATTCATGAAGATTTTGTTCCTACTTGATGTGGTGTTATACACTATTACTGCAGACGTTCAGAAAGCCGCTGGACAACACTATAAACGTCAATTGTTACTCACATATTTCTTTTCTCAGATACGTTACATAATTATGTCACTTCAGTACAAAACAATAGTACCTCTAATAAATATAACTTTTTATGGCTAAATACAAGCAAGTTATATAATATTCACAATTAGGTTAACGCTTGATTGCTTCTACTTACATTTTATAAACAACTACCGACATCCATGTTCACCGTCACCGCAATCAAGGAGGTGAACCATATGTAAAAGATTTTACGGTTCATTTTCATAAAAACTCAATCTGTGGTGTATTTTTTGACTAGAAAAACGGTGAACTTTACTTGCTTGAGTTTGTATTGTTACAAATAACTATATTAAGCTAACTTCAGATTTACTTACGTGGTGAGCAAGAAATACGTCAAACTGCCAATAAATTGGAATAAAACTATGTTACAAGCACTAGCAATACAGAAATTGATGTGTCATGCAAAAAAGCCTGTTAATAGCTGATAAATAACGACACAAAAAATCCACGACAATATGTAACGTGTGCGCGAAAATCCCTGGCTTACCCGCTAGTCCGTGCCAAAAGCACGTTAAAACAAACACTGGTACAGCTGGTTATAATAATAATTGTTTTTATTAAACCAGTCGTGTTCTCGTGATAAAAGTGAGTCACTACAGGATATTGAGGCTTGTTTCTGTTTCCCTTATCATTTAAGTTATGACAGAGAAAAACAAGCTTTGTACGACCCATTTGAAAGGAAACACTTCGTAACCCATGAGCTAATCATTGATTTGGTCAACCATAAACCTGTTAGATTTTCAGCAGATGACTTGAACGACTTAACAATTAAGCAACGTTATATGTGTGTAACATTGGAATAAACAGGATACATGTTCGATGTAAATTTAGAAATAATTGTGTAATGTCTACCACTGGAGTTGCAGGGTAGTTGGACAGAAAATGCCGATAAGTAACCCGACTTTGAAGAATTTCTTGAGCTCAAAGTAAGTAACAGGGTTACTCGAACACGGTATGGGAGGCTAGTACAATGCCATTCGAAGATTAGTATGAAAGGTCATGAAAAGAAAGTCGATAAGAAGCCATGTCGTAATGTAGTTAGGCATAAGATAAAAATGTAAACTGATTTTTTAGTTGTTAGTTATGTAAACGTGTTCACAAGGTGATAGGCTGTTAGGGATTATTGAAAGTGATTGTTATAGGAAGGAAATAGAAAGTAAGAAGAAGTGGTCTATATTATTTGTGTTTGAGTAGAGTCTTCATAGATCGATTCTGTGACTTGAGATAAGAGTGTCACCATGAGGATTTTAGAGTTCAACATCATCTAATGTTACATAATGATGGTAATATGAATCATGCAGTTACGTTTGTCATAGACCTGGGCTCATAAAATGTTTTTTTGGATATTTTTTCGGTCAAGTTATACTGTCCTAAACAGAGTTTAGAAACCTACGCCCCTCTTGTATGCAAACTGAAAACTTATCGATTGGGTCTCGAAGTCAAAGAACTGTCGATAAACATGAAGAATCTGAATGGTACCAGTATATATAAATAGTTAAAAATAATTTTACAGATATCACAAATGGACTATGGTGGGTCTGTACACATTCATAGAATTTATGCCACTAAAATACTGCTGATCAACTATGGAACCCCTAACCGAACAACAGCTAGGACAGTAGAAACATTTAAGTAATATTACTCTTCAGAGGTTGCAAAGTGATTGATTGAAGTTTTGACTGAATGTCATGCCCCAGGTGCACACTGGGTTATTGAACAATGTCTATGAGAAAGGAAACAGCTGTTTGGTGTGCGTGCGCATCTCAAAAGGATTGTTGTGAGTTCCAAGGGAATAAGCAGATGACCACATCATAGTCAGCTGTGTCATTGTTCGCCAACCCATGATAATTTACATGATCCATAAAACTTATCATGACCATTATCAGTATCCGAATCGGTTTTGCCAACTAAGAGTTCCCGAAATAGTTTGATTCAGAGCAGATAGGCCTAAATGAGTACAAATTAACGTATTATATTTGGAATTCATAATCAGCGCTCTGTGTAGATAGGACTGACAACCTTATTTTGTAAATAGTTTTCAATGTTATTTGTATTTATTTTGTCAACCTTCCACTGTATGTATATTTAACATCAAATGACTGTAACTGTTGTTTTAGTAAATGACCTTGAACACACTTTCCGTTGTGATTCTGACATAGCGTGACATACTCTTGCTGGATAACAAATACACTACTACTTTCACATTCCCCGTTCTATCTTCGTTTGTGATTGAGTTAACTGAAGTCTAAATCATATACCATCATTATTTATAGACTGTAATTGGAATATATCACTGGAGAGTTCGCCAACCTGCTCAGAATCACCAAGCATTTATAATTGTGGATTTACATTACCGGACCCAATCAGAACACGCAACGTTTGGGCAATTTAATTAACGTCCCAAATTTTTATTGTATTTGTAACAATTAACTGTATATATTAATATTACTATTGATCTTTAGTAACTTTGTTTATACTTTTCGCGTTCATATCTGTCTGGTCCACTACAGCGCAAAAAGGTACAAAGAAATCATCAGTTAGTACAAGTACCACAATCGCTGCAGCTTATATGGGAATCCGTAGAGTTTTTGTTCTAGTTTGATATAAGTACCACTACAAATTTCTGTAATTGACTGTACGTCCCCTCCTTAGGTCCATTATGCGTCTCTCCGGCTGTGAGTTGAATGTAAACACTGCATGATCTAGAATTTGTTCATAGGTATTAGAGTTAACAGCCGAAATCGCAAGAAACTCACCTGGTTCCTGGAATTGTTTGTAATCAATGTGCTGGTTGTGTGTACTTAAATCACTGATATCCAGAATTCGCACCATAGATTTTCCAACATTCTTTACTGCAATCCACGTGACTAATGGAAGATCATTTCTACGACTGTCTGTAACATCTGCATACTCTAAACACCTCATATTCGAACGAACAATCCTTCTTTCTGTAACTTCGATAGAGTCTGCTTCGTTGCAGAATGTTTAGCATTTTTATATTGAAGTAGAAATGTGTCTACTCCCCTCTCCAGTTCATCAAATGTTAAAGTAGCAATGGAGTTGATAGCAATTTTTAATGTCCTGACAAAATTATTTGCCTGACCATTAGAACAAGAGTGACTGGCAGCAGAGAACAGATGTCTTCATTCAATACTATTCGCCCAGGTATTGACTGTATCTGCAGCAAAATGAAAGCCATTATGGGTCACCAATACTACAGC